GCAGGGTATTATTGGAAACTGCTGATGTACAAAGGGACTCAAAAGTCCTTCATCACCAGTCACTAAAAGCAAGCATGCAGGTGTAGCAAGCAATCAGGAGGGCTAATAGTATATTAGCCAGACTCTAAATTCTTTAAAAATTGAAAGAACTGCAGATGCTGGAAATCAGAAACAAAAATAAAAAATTACTAGGAAAGCTCAACAGGTCAGGCAGCATCTGTGGAGAGAAATCAGAGTTAATGTTTCGGGTCCAGTGACCCCTGGGACTCGACTCACTGGACCCAAAACGTTAACTCTGATTTCTCTCCACAGGTGCTGCCAGACTTGCTGAGCTTTTCCAGCAATTTCTGTTTTTGTTCCAAATTCTTTAATTACTTGAACTTATTAATTGCCATGATGGGATCTGGACTACTGTATACAGTTTGGACCACTGGACTATCAACCCAGTGCTATTACTGTCCCCTGGTGCAAGGCAAGGTCAGATTTTTAAAAAAATGGATTTACAGTAGGTATAAATGGATATAAGAGAATCCTCAGCAACAATTGCCCATAAAAAATAGGGACTGAGGTTATGATGTGAAATTGCTGAACAAAATGCTGTATCCAGGATGCTGTAAAGTGCCTAATTGAAAGATTATATGCTGTTCCTTAAACTACATTGAAACCATGCAGAAGACCAAAGGCAGAAAAGACCAAATAGAAGGCAAAGCAGAGAATAACAATGACAGGCAACAGGAAGCTTATAGGCTTAACAGCAATTTTCCAGAAAATGCTCACTGATCTGCATCTGGTGCCCTCAGCGTAGAAGAGACTACATTTGGAATATTTCATATAGTACAGTAAATTTAAACAAGTACAAATAATTTGTTGTTGCATCTGAAAAGAGTGCTTGGATAATGATAACAGAGGAAGTAAAGGACAATTGCTGCATCTCTTGTAATTGCATGGAAAGGTGGCAAGGGAAGGGGAGGAGATTTTGGGTATGATGGAAGAATGGACCAAATTGATAGAGTTAACAGTACTTTCAGAACACTGAAGGGGATGGTAGATAATGATGATACATTTCCTGGTGGAATTATATGGGAGGTTTGAAATGGTAGAGGAAGATCCCTTGAATATGGGGCTACTGGGTTTGAAACAGAGGAAAAGGGAACCCTATGTAGGGTTGAGTAATTTTTCAATAGTTTACAGTTATGTCACTCTGGAGCTGGGGAGGGGTAAGAGCAGAAGTACAGGAAAGCAAACTGATGCAGTCAAGGGCCCTGTAAACCGTGATGAAAGGGAATCCGAGGTTGACGAAAATGGACAATATACTGGAAACCCTGGTACAGAAGGCAGAAAGTTACACAAAGAGGGAGAAATAGGGACAATGGAATATAATCCCCTACGAGAAGCGAAGTGGTTGTTGGTTGATTGTCCTCATTTCTGTGGATAAACTGAGAAGTTGAATAAGAGAAGGGAAGAGTTCAGGATGGACCATATAAAAAGGCAAGAGAAGGGTGGAAATCAGAAGCAATGTGAATGAAATATTCCAGTTCAGGACGAGAAGGCAATGAAAATGATACAATCAATGAAATATGGTGTGGGTGGGGTGGAATAAGTTTCTACGGGAAAGACAATCTGTTACCCTTACTTGGTCTGTCCTACATGTGACTCAATATACAGAAAGTGATGTGACTGACTCTTAACTGCACTCCAAAATAGCCTAGCAAGTCACTTAGTTTGTACTAAATGGTTACAGAGAAACCAAAATTGAATAAAATCAGAAGGCCTACCTGGATTAGCTAGGAACCAGAAATGACAATGGCACACTCAGGCCAGTTGGTCCTGCAATGTCCTGTTTATTAACAGCTAGGGGCTCGTGCCATAAAATTTGGGAAAAGTGTCCCACCTCTCTCATTAAGCAACAACCTGACTTGGTTGCACTTTCAAGGGCACAGAATGTACTATGGGTACAGGACTTCAAAGTCCATCATCAAGAGTGGCCTGGTAGCACGACTACTGACTGAGACGGTTGAGTCCTGAAAGACATTGCTGATAGACTGGCTCTGCAGAAGCCTGTGGGGGAACGAACAAGAAGGGAAGACCTATTAGAATAAGTCCTCCCCAATCTACCTGTCACAGGTGCATTTTCTATGACTGTATCAGGAGCAGTCACAATGCACATATCTGGAAGACAATTCTTCACAATAAAAATACCACTCATTTGTAACAACAGCACTGTACTAAATAAGATAATTTCATAACAGATCTAGCAGCTCAAAACAGGGCATCCATGCCATGCTGTGGACCAGCAGCAGGATTTTACTCAACCACCATTTGTAATCTCTTGGTTCAGTATATTCCTCACTTTGTCATTACCATCAAGACAAGGGATCCACACTGGTTTAACGAAAAATGCAGGAGAGCATATCAGAAGCAGAATGAGACATACCTAAAAATTGGTTGCACAGCCTCCTCACTAATGTTCAGGTTGGGTTCTATTAGGGTCACTCTGCTCTAGATCTCATTACAGCCTTAGTTCAAATATAAGCAAAAGGGCTGAACGAACAGGCAATGAAAGAATAACTGTCCTTGACATCAAAGCAATATTTGATCCATTGTGGCACCAAGGGGCCTTAGTAAAATTGAAGTCAGTGGAAGTTGGGGAGATAGTGCTACAAAAACAGGTCAGAGGCAGTAGCTCTGTAATTTTGTAACTTGCCTCTTAATCCACTAAATCCACCGACAAAACACAAGTTAAACATTTCTTAGAATATACCTTTTTGTGTGCCCAAGTACAGCACCTTCCAAATCTGCAACCTCTACAGCCTAGAAGGACAAGGCAGCAGGCACATGCAAATACTACAACTTACAACTTGTCCTCCAAGCCACACAATATCCTGACCTAGAACTATAATCACCAGTCCTTTACTATCATGAGGTCTAAATCCTGAAGCTCCCTTCCTAACAGCACTGTGGGTATAAATGCAGTAGTTCACGAAGGCAGCTCATCAACACCTTCCAAAGAGCAATGACATCTGGGAAACAAACCCAGGCATTGAAGGTGTTGCTATATCTCAAAGAAAAAAAAGCTTCCATTGAAATAGAGAATTGGCTACAGAAACGTGCACTGAAATGGAGACAGGGAGGACTGGCCATATCTTGTTATTAACTGTTTAACAATGGAAGATAGTGGCCTGGGATACCGTGCTATGTACCCAGGACTCCACTAGATTCTTCACGTTTAAACCAGTGTTCTTCTGCATTAACATAATTGGTTTCAAATTACTTCAACAGGAATCACAATTCATATCATCTAGGAAGGCAATGACCAGAACATCTTTAGGATGGACAGAGAAACAGAAGGAACAGTCAGTCAGTGATAAATCAACCTTACTGGGGCTAATTTTGATTAGTTACAATGGAAAGTAGCCTAGGAGATACTGGGTAGAAAAGATAACGAATGTGGCAGTAGTAAGCGATGGAAAATGTTCCAACCACAAGTGATCAAGGAATCAACAGCCAGACAATTACATTTATAACTGACAGAGAGACACATGTACACTGACCAAAAATACTGATAATCCATTTATAGATACATAATTGAATAAGTAATCCAGAAGTTTAGGCTAATGCTATGGGGACTTAAGTCAAAATCCCACCATGGCAGTTGGTAGAATTTAAATTAATAAGTCTGAAATTAAAAGCTATTCTTACTAATAGTCACCATGAGATTATTGCTATTGGTGTAAAACATAGTTCCTTCACTAATATCCTTTATAGATGCAAACCTGCCACCCTTACCTAGTCTGGTGTACATGTAACTTCAGACACACTAATATGTCTCTCCCTGAAACTGCCGATAAAACTATTCAGTTTAAGGGCAATTAGTGATGGGCAAATGTGTACCTTCCCAGCAGCACACATATCCCATAAAAGAATAAAAACGTGCAGGTAAAAATCAGATCCTTGAAATAGATATAAATGTATAGGTACAGTGGTGATAACTAATGTATTCACAAATACATTAACATTAGCATTTATAGTATAGGCACGAAAAAGACACATCAATCTAATTATATTTTGAATGCATTGATATAAAGGCGAACGTTCGTCCTGCCTGTCCAACATGCAACAGCTGTGAGATCGAAGTTGTACATGCTTTTTTATTGCAGGCTCATTTGCGTCGGAGAAAAGAATATGGCATTGGATTCTACCACCTCAGGTTAGGTCACGCTCACACCCAGATGACACGTAGCATCTTTAAACCTTTTCTAAGCATTTTTGTATTTCTATTGTAAAGTTCTCAGACCAATTAAAAGATTAAATAATGATTAAGATATACACAATGTCAATCTATATTGCGTTGCATTTCTTTAAATAAAAAGCACTTCTTTTTTTGTATGAAATTTCTTCATTTTGAAGAGTTTGATTCATGATTCAAGAAACGGTGGGAATAGCACTATCACTCACAGTGGAAACACGATATATACCCAAAGGCCAGCGTGTAAGAGGATCGCGCTCCGATTTTTTTTTTCCCTTCCGTCAGGTTTGTTACTCACCAAAAACCATAAATAAGAGGACGCATAAGAGAGTGGCGACCAAAACCAGCAGGGTCAGACCGATGCTCTGTAACATTGCGCGCCTGGAGGCGGGTGTCCCGTATCACTGGCAGCTGCAGGACTCACTCAGTAACTCCACTAGGCCCAACATCGGCTTCAGTGATATGAAGCCAGACTGATCACAATGCCGACCCTCAATCACGTACTCCACAATAACACTGGCCGTTGCTAAAACCGTAGACAGTGGGCTCTGATTATAGAGCCTATCGATTACCGTAGTTTCCGGCAATCTTTGCTCTCACATTGACAAATGCTCTTCCCCAAGGCCTGCGCCGCCCCGCGGTATGTTGGAGACTGTAGTTTTCTGACGGCAGCGTAAGCACGGCTCATGGGTTGACTGTGCGTAGCCGGGAACTACAGTTCCCAGCATGCAGCCTGTACCCGGATCAAAGAAGACAGCAGTTCCGGTTGGTGTGGTTTTTTTTTCACTGAAGACCAAACAAAAGAGCTGATTCTAAAGGTAGAGTTATTTAAATTACACATGGTGCGAATTTCATCCTCCGGTTTATAAATAACATTTGTTTAGTCACCACTGGAATACTCAATTGTAACCTTTAATATATATTTTATTACGATATTCTGGCTTCTCAATGTTATCCGGTTGCTAGGTGATGTTAGCAATACAAACCTTTTCCAGCGAGTATGTGGAGAAAGACTTAGCAACAGAGTGTAGACAGGGGAGTGCCAACAAGTACAAGATTACTGGTTGATCGGCCAAAGCTAATTTGCTCCTACCGGATCTCCCCTGCTCCGTCCGTTCTTTTTCTTTTGCTGTCTTTTTCTGGACTCTTAGCCCCTGAGGCGAATCCTGGAGCAGCGGCAGGTGCAGGCAGCGAGTCCCTGGCGGAGACCGGCACGGGAGAGGCAATCCTGGAATTTAGCTTGGAGTAGCTGAGTGCTGGGACAGAGCAATCTAGAGGCTTGGAGCGGGGACGGCTGTTGGACTGGGGTCTGGTGCAGGGGGTCGGACCATGTGTGGAGGCCCAGCGCTGAGTTGCTGCAATATAATGTCTACTTGAATTTTTTTCCGGACTCTAATGTCAATCCTTTAATGATGTCGTATTTCTAACTCACTTTTTAAACTCAGTGAGGTAATGCAACTACTTTTTATCAGAAATAAGAACCACTGGCTATTATTCATTCCTCTTTTGTATCTATGATTTGTACCTAGTACTTGTACCTAAGATGGTGCCATAAGAGGCCGACATTGTAAAAGCTTTTCATTGTAATTCTGCAATGGAGTACACATGATAATAAAGGATACTCTATTCTATTTTTACCAAAACATTTTGATATCCAGTCAGTAATTAAATTCAGTACTTAAAATATGGAAATGTGCTGCAGTTTTTGTTCAATATTAAATAAACACTAATGTATCAATTTGCAAACTCAAAAATTAAGGTTAAAAGCTAAATTAGGGATTAAATAAAAAGTTGCAGATGCTGGAATTCTAAACTAAAAGTAGGAAGTACTGGTAAAACAATTGGGTTAATCAACACCTTGGGTTTATCACTGACAAGAAATGAACTGGACCAGTCATATAATTACTGTGCCTACAAATCATGTCAGAGGCTAGGAATCCTACAGATAGAAACTTCCCTCCTGACTCCCCACAGAATTTTCACCATCTCCAAGGTGCAGATCAGGTGTGATGGAAAAATCCACACTTACCTGGATGAATGCAGTTCCGACTACACTCAAGAAGCTTGATACCATCCACAACAAAGCAGTTGCTTTAGCTCAACTAAACTTACCTGCCTTTGAATTATACCTCCTGATATCCTTACTTAATAAAAAGTCAATAATGTAAATCTTGAAAAATTCATTTGATTCAGCATCAACAGACATTTACAAGAGACAATTCTAGATTTCTGCTAAACTTTGTGTAAAGACATATTTCCTGATTTTACTGTTAAATGAGCAAGTGCTAATTTTAAGATTGTCATGTTTTGAATCCCACTTCCGTAGACAATGTTTTCTCTATCCACTCTACTGAAATCCGCTATCAGTGGGAGCAACAAACATTTATTTAATGTCTTTTACACAATTGTGCTACACAGGAGAACTCATTCTCAAATTTGAATTTAGTAAGTGTGCAGATGACACAAAAATTGGAGGTGTTGTGGACAGTGAAGAAGGTTAACTTGGGGTACAACTGGACCTTGATCCGATGGGCCGAGGACTGGCAGATAGTATTTAATTTAGATAAATGAGAGGCATTGCATTTTGGAAAGGCAAATCAGGACAGGACTTACACAGTTAATGGTAAGGTCCTGGGCAGTGTTGCTGAACAAAGAGACCTTGGAGTGCAGATTCGTAGTTCATTGAAAGTGGTGACCAGGTAGACAGGATAGTGAAGAAGGCATTTGGTATGCTTGCCTTTATTAGTTAGTGCATTAAGTATAGGAGTTGGGAGGTCAAGTTGCGGCTGTACAGGACATTGGTTAAGCCACTTTTGGGATACTGCATTCAGCTCTGGTCTAAACTTGAAAGGATTCAGAAAAAAATTACAAAGATGTTGCCAGGGTTGGAGTACTTGAGCTATAGGGAGAGGGTGGGTAGGCTGGGGCTATTTCCCCTGGAGTGTCGGAGGCTGAGGGGTGACCTTATGGAGGCTCATAAGATCATTAGGGGCATGGACAGGATAAATAGCCAAGGTCTTTTTCCCAGGGTGAGGGAGTCCAAAACTAGAAGACATAGGTTTAAGGTGAGAGGGGAAAGATTAAAAAGACACCTAAGGGGCAACTTTTTCACACAGAGGGTGGTGCATGGCAGACAATGGAAGATTGGTGCTTTGCTTTCTAGGCAAGGACCTAAAAAGTTCTGGTGAACAGAGTGGTGCAGGGGAGGGCTATGCTCTTCCCCAGGATCAGAAGAAGACCCTACCTAGTGTTGGGTTTAAAAATATCTTCAAACCAGATTGTTAAGGATTAATTGGACATGACAATGAGTAATTGAAGAAAGTGGAAAACTACATAGAAAGCAGGCCTAGTGCAAATACAGCCTGTTTTGGCTGGAAGGTAACTGCACTGACCTTGGGCCTGGGAAACAGACAGTTTTTGTGGAGTTAATACAAAAACACCTGGAGTTATTTTTGCAGAATGAAATGCCTGGAAAAGTACTGAAAGTACTAAGAAATAGTAATGCAACACATAACATTAGATTCAGAGCAGTACTATATTGGGGACTTTGACCCGCTCATTGAATTTTCACCTTCGTGCTGGGTTTGTAAGACCACTGCCATGAAACTTGAAATAGATCTCCAAGTACCACCACCACCAGTCCCTGACAAGCCAAAAGTCAATGAAAAATGTTTGCCTATGTATATAAAGTAGATTGAGTTAATAGAGTTACTCATTAATTTGTATATATTAAGTTAATACAATTGCAATGTATTCACATGTTTTCTTGTTTTCATTTTGATCAGATTTTAAAGAATCCAGTAGGTACTCTCAGCCAAATAACACACACTGCCAGCAGGTTTTGAGATCACCACCTAAGTCAATGCAATCTCCAAAATCCACAAAAATGTTCAGCAATACCACAAGAAAATCAATGATTTTCTCTGCCAAGGGAAGCATCACCATCTTCTCTCTGATACCTCACACTTACTCCATCTCTGCTATTGTACCAAGATTCATGTTCCACCACACTCTTGTATGTAATAACTTCCCGCCCTCACTCACACCCACTCAATTCCCCCAATACTATTAAAACCGCATGGCCTCTGCATCCAGTGAGGTGCCTCCAATCTGCACAATTGAATTCCCAACCTTCCCTCCCAAAGCATTCACCCCTGAAACACGCCCCACCTTGATTTTTAGTGATGGACCCCCAAGATTGACCACAGCCCTGTCTTTGACAAAGTTGGATAGACACTGCTGATTGACCATGACTAAATCCAATACTGACTTCCTGTGACTCCACGGACCAGTTGAACTGGGCCCCCAAAGCTAACTATGGCCTACTTCCCAAACAGTAGAGGTATGGGCTCCCTGACTGCCCCAAGTGGCCAGCTGAGCATGCTTAAACCCAGGACTGATCTTGGAGGCTGCCCTTACTGTGTTGGGACACCCTGAATGAAAGCTGACTCTTTTGGCAACGGAGAACTGTTCCCCTTAGGCATTGAAACATGGCCTTTACTTGAAGTACATGCAGTGTATTTGGCATGAACACCACTGGCACATGGTGTAGGTGTGAGACTTACAAAGCACGGTGAGGCCCACATCATTGACTGGTTGCTGCTGACAAGCATGACAAGTTGCCTGGTTTTGTGTCTGTGCTAAACAGCACGGCAAGACAGAAGCACTGTCAACCTGTAAGGTCTGGCTGAGCGGACAAAGTGGAAAAGGACAAGGCAGAGATACTGTGAACATTCAACTAGGCACAAAGTTAATAAGTGCTATGAGACCAAGCAAAGATCCTGAGAAGTACCCTAGTCCAATCCATGGGTTGGGTACCTGTTTCTATGCACAGTGTCCTAGCAACAGCAGACCAATGAAAGCTGCCAGCATGCTACAAAGTGCTAAACATATTGTAAGTGGATCAGAGAATTGCTGAAAAGGTGCAATGATGTTGATATGTGTCAGATGTCAAGGTCCATGGATTTGGGCAATGCTTACAGTCACTGTCCATGGAATGTGCCCTGAGATGTTGGTTTCTGGTGTCTAAGGACCAAGTAGTGAGCTGGAGTCACCAGGTAACCACTCCAACTTTCATGGCAGGAATTGTCAGCTGGAGGAACATCACACTGTGTTACTGCTGTTGTTCCTCCAGCTCCACACTGTGTTGTCTCTGACAACAGCATCTGCAGTTCTTGCTATCTCTGAGGAATTGTCAGCTGTCAAGTTTCTATCCCCTGGGTGGGAGAATGGAAAACTGCCATTACTGAGGTGAGATTAGCTAATAATGAGATGCTAATACATGCCACAATGTGCAGATAAGCAAGAATAGTGAGAATCACATTTTGCTGTTAAACACTTGGATGGAAAGTAGGACTTTTTGCTCCTGATGTGATTTTACTTGCTAATGCCCTCGTCATGGAGGGGCTGAGAAAATTCCAGCCATACGTTTAAATTACTGGCTTGGAAAGTGACTATTCAGTGCTATGGAAGTTGAGGAGTCTGGTATTTTAACACCTCTATTGTATCACCCTTCATGCAACTGAAACGCATGGAACTCATCTAAACTCATGGGAATACAAGCCAAGGTTATGCAACCTGTCATCATAATTTAACCCTTTAAACCCTGTTATCAGTCTGGTGAATTATTTCCAAGGATAATATATCCTTTCTGAGAAGTGGTGACCAAATTGAATATGATACTCCAGATGAGAACTAATCACAACTCCCAATCTTTCATATCCTAGCTCCATTCCATTAGTTTTCAAGTGCACCGTTTGAAATTTACCACTCTTCATGCTCTATATACACGATACCTAAATCTATTTGCTCCTCAACA